TCTTCTCTCTCTCTCTCTCTCTCTCTCTCTCTCTCTCTCTCTCTCTCTTCATTTTTATTGCATTTTCAAAAATGTTTCAGTTTCACGACAAGCTTTCACAGTGAGAACAATTAAAACTTTCCATTTTCATATAATTCAAATCAATCTATCAAAAAATATTTCAATACGTAAGGATTGTAACATTTGAACAATAATGCACGTAAAATAAAAAGATAAATTAAAGAGAAATTGAGAATAAAATATTATTTACGCAAAATATTCGAATATTAAAAATAAATATCATAAAAAAATGATAACATTTAATATAATAAAGCCAAACGAAATTTCTAACACCGAAATAAGATCGGAAAGCGTAAAATCGAATAAAACTTTCTAAAGTTGCTTTCTAAAGATGCTTCGGAGCAAGACAAGACGACGAGGCTCGTGTGTATGCATCACGAGACAATGCGTCGACGCATTTGGGAAGAAATTTCGGAAGAAATTCGGGATGCTCACCCAACGGTCACGTCGAAGATGTTACTGCCGACGGAACTCGACACGGCCATGTCGCCGTATCCCTTTCGCGCCACGATGACACTTGTGATGAGGTCCGGTATGCTGGTGCCAGCTGCGAGGAAGGTCAGGCCCATCACTTCCGGCGGTATCGCCACGGTGTCGCCGGCGATATTTGCCCACCAGACCATCAGGTACGAGTACGCCGCGATCCAGAAGATCGAGCCGATGAACGTTATCGGGAAGAACTTCTTTCCTGAAATTAAGTACGCGAACGCGCGGCATTAGTTATATACATTCCCTACGGACCTTACGGTGATTACATTAATCGTCGAAGGGAACGAGGTCGACGTCGGAAATGACTTTACATGGCAATTTTTCCCATGAGAAACGTATCGAGACGATAAGATAGCGCGAGACCGTTCTTACGCTCGGAATTATGCAGTCAGCCACGTGGCGCCAGCGTTCTACTCGCGACTACTATCACTCGGTTGTAGTCTCCATTAACGGGATAGTTTAAG